ATCAATGTCCACTCTCACTGGGACATGGCTAGTCCAACATTTCTGCAGATCCAATGAGTTATTTGCTACTACTTTTCCCACTTGTGCTGCAATTTTTTCTCCAACACTCCTGATGCGCCAATCCAATGGCAAACCATGTATTTGGATGATGAATTCAGTTTTGGAAAAATTCATTTCTTCTAACAATCCTCCTGCAATCCACCGCTTTATGACCAAAATTTGACCAGCAACTTCCCATGGGCCATGGTCCAACACTGATTGTATGTCCACTTCATGGGTGAAGAAAAACAAAAAATGGCCTTCAAGTGAATCTTCCACCACCACTGGTCGCTTCAAGTTCTATGACTTCAGAAAGACACCCATGACTGCTACATGATTCACCACTTTATCTCCATGAACTTTCCCCACCAAGCATTGATTCCACTTATCACCATCCTCCCTATTACTGATTTCATCATCAATGTGCACTCCATTTTCCGAACACCCAACCTTGTTAAGTGCATTAACAAGAACCTCCTCTTCCATACCATCAACTCTAAGACAGACAAACAAGTCACAGACCATAACAAGCAAAAAGGAGAAGAAAGCTCTACAAAACCGAGAGCAAGAGAAAGCCTTACACAACAAAGGCAAGAAAAAGCCCTACACCTTTAGAAGTTGTTTTTCATGCCTTTATGCATCCTGGTTTCTTTCGTTGTCATAGTACAGAGTTGATTTCTCATACCTTTATGTATAGCCCTTTTGCCAAAGCAATCTGGTTTGGCTCCCCCTCTCAACCCACCCTCCTCCTTCGAATGGGGATTTTTGAGATTGGGTTAGTCTATGCATGGTTGGATGGTTTAGACAAGAAATCTCATTCTTTGGTGGCTTTAATATGTTGGAGAATCTAATAGGAACATATTATTTTTTTTTGGGTCAAATTCGAATCTAGTGCAGGAAATCCGAAATATCCCTTTTATTAAAAGATTGGTCAAGAAGAATTAAAGTCTATCGAAAGAGTAGGGATGGCAATTTCTACCCTCCCTGATGGGATGGTTTTTTTTTTTTGAAAAATGGGTTTTGGGTTGGGGTGGTATTAGGCTCAACCGACCCTCCCGACCAACATATTGTTGGAAAGCATATCAATTGTATGTACTAGGTCTTGAATTTAATAATATTTTAAAATTTACATGAAGGATAATTAATATTTTATGTGTTTTTTACATGCTTTAATCAAATAATTGAAAATTTATTGTTTATTTGTGTTATTTTACTTATTTGTTACTTATATATGACAAGGAATAATATAAAATTAGATGCGGGTTCTAAACCCAACTCACCCCTACCCTTGAATGTGAAAAGGGTAGAGTTGAGGAGGATTTTGCATTTTCATGTGGGGAAAGGTTTTGTAAAACCTTTCCAAACCCATCCCGTTGCCATCCCTAGCTGGACTCTCTGCCTTTGGCCCATTTCCGGTCGCTCTCATCTTTTTTTTTTTTTTTTTTGATAATATGGTTGCCTCCATCTTTGAGTTGCATGAAAGTCAATGTAAATGCTGCCTTTTCCTCTCCCTCTAGGCCTTTTGGTTTAGGAGCTGCTAATTAGAAATGCGAGAGGTCTATTCTTTGCTGCTAGTCAAGCTTCTTCATTCTCCTTGTTTCCTCTTCTAGTTGAGACAGAAGCTAATAGGGTTGGGGTTGGCTCTCACTCATTCTCTAGGTCTTTCAAAGGTGATTTTGGAAATGGTTGCCCTTCAATTTTTCAAGGAGCTTCGCTCTTCCTCTATCTCTGAGTGGGCCCTCTCACTTCCTAATTTTGAAGGACATGTTCTTCTTGGTGCAGTGCTTTGAAGGAGTGGCTTTCACCAGTGTTAAGAGAGAGACCAACAAATCAGCTTATTATGTGGTAAATTGACTGATTTTTAAGAGCGTCTTTTTACATTTTTAGTCTTTTACCACTCATTAATATAAACATTCGAGTCCGGATCTCCTGCCCACGAGAACTCTGCTCATGTTTGCCCACATAACATCGCAACCGCATATGGAGAATATCTCACCCACCTGCATAGTATTCTACAGGGGGAGATGTTCCCAATTTACGGGGGTAGTGTGTTGTGAGTAGACATGGGCAGAGTTTGCGGGTAAGAGATCCCGCGTCTAAACCATTTGCATTTCTATCACTCATTTTTTTTGGACATACTAACTCTTAATCATGTAACACTTATCTCTAAGCAAACCAACTGATAGTGGCTTAATTGGTGGGATTTTTGGCTTGTAGTAGAGATCTAGGATCAAATCCTACAATTACTAGGGTTGGGGGGGTTAAGGGGATGGGGGATGGTCTTCTGCCCCTTGTTGTGTAGCCAATAGCCCCATGAAACAAAAAGAAAAAAGAAAAAAGAAAAAAAAAGAAGAAAAGAAAAAAAAAGCTTTATGCAATATAAATGACATTATAACTGTTTTTTTGGTAATTAGTCAAGTTTTCCTTTTGTATCCAGATTATATTTGGGTCCGAACCAATTATTTTGTTGTTCTGAACCGATTATGTATTTAAAAATATATAAAGAAATCATGGCAAACTTCACATACAGCATAATTTTAATTAAAAAGCACTTGTTTTATTAACATATAAAATCTGTTTATTATTTATTTACATAAAAAGGTTTATTACTTATGTCTTTAAGGTTATATTATTAAAATAGTTGTATTACATTTAATCATAATCATAGATTTTAAGTATTATTGTATCTAATCGGGTCAGGCCCAAATAGCCCAATTTTATGGTGTTGGACCCTTGATTTTATAAAACTGATTGGGTTTGGTTCCGAAGTGAGTATTGTCTTATAAATGGGATTCGGAAGTGAGTATTGTCTTAGAGATGGGATTAACGCAATGATAATCCCACACACCAGTCCACACCGTCTTTTAAGAGACCCGATTTGCCGATTTCGTCTTCACAAAATTTGTCAGTATAGTGGGAAAGGACGAAATTTAGGTTATTCTTTTAATATATATATATATATATATATTTTTTGGGTAAGATTCTTTTAATATATAGGGCCTATAACCGTTCAACCAATTTGAATTTGCTCTTCACATAACGTGCTTTACATCAACTTTACATTGCAGCCCTGTATTAGGAATATCTTTCTATAAATGATAAATTATAGAGGAATTGGGATTCGTAAATCAGAATGCTCTTCACACGGATCTCACAATATGTCCAAGCTGTACATTAAAAACATCTCCCATACTTATATTTATTATTCATGGGTTGATATTCTCAATAAACGATGGAAGTAGCTGTGAGATCCGTATGAAAAGTCCTCTGTGATTATGTGGAGCAGATCCTAATTCAGTCCTTGTGTAAGGCTACAAGTGCTATGAAGTTGGCCTGAGATGCCTTACATGTAAGGAGCGAATCTGAAGTAAAAGATCTCACTGTGTCTATTGGCATCTATTTTTATCCCCGTGGGATATTATCATTGGTTCCATAGTCCGCTAGACAGCGAATGCCTTCAGCCGTTATGTGTTCTAAGAATTGGGATATGCTTCTCGTAAAACATGTCTCATACCATCTCTTAGCCACATCTCACCCTGTATAAGGAATATCTATTTATGAATAATAAATACAATAATGGAAAATGTTCTCGATGTAGAATATTTTTTTATAGATAATAAATACAAGTATGGAAGATGTTCTCGATGTGTGGCCACTATGTTGTGAGGCACGATCTGGACTCGTGCTATAATGTTACGGGGGTAATTCTACAACGGAAGAAACTCGTGCAGCGTTTAGACCAAGGTAGGCTAGGACAAGCCTTATGCGTGTTTGAAGGCTAGGAATTGCCTGATGAGATGGCCCCACCAAGGTCAGTAGCACTAGATCATGACCTCAAGTCGCATGGCCGGGGCACTCGGCTGGCTCTGGCTGATCCATGGGAGGCGCCACTTACATGCTAAAGGGGGAAGGCCATGATGTGAGGCGATTGGACGCCGATGTGATGGGTCTCCTGTATGTTGATGATGATAGACAACCGTTGGGCTGGAACACACCTATGCGCTATGGGCAACGGGATAGCTCACTCAGCTTGGGTAAGGGGCTGGCATGGTGAAGGGTCATGCTTGAGCCAGGCCCGCATGCCAAGCCTTCATTGAGTGTCAACAGCGCAATGTCGGCCCGCATGCCAAGCCTTCCTTGGTAGCCATACTAGCCATTAACCATGGCCGCCCCGCAAGGGATGATGGTCTACGAGTGCCAAGGTTAGGCACCCAAGGAGGTCAACCACCCCTCCTCAAAGAGTACGTTAAGCTTTTAGAGGTCTGCTTGAAGATGACATCAATTCTCCCAAAAATCTTACAGGTGAAAATGACGGTGGTGTCCCTTAACGTAAACCTACCAAGCGTAGGCAAGGCTAAGCCTGCGCTACCAACACTCAAGGGAGGCTTGGCATGCGAGCATGGTTCAAGTATGACCCTTTACCATGCTAGTTCCTTGCCTAAGCTGAGTGAGCTATCCTGTTGCCCATAGCGCACAGGTGTGTTCCGGCCCAGCGGTTGCCTATCACCAGTGGCACATCGGGTGCCTACATCATTGACATACAGGAGACCCTTCACATCAGTGCCAAGTCGCCTCTCATCATGGCCATCCCCCTTTAGCACGTAATTGGCGCCTCCCATGGACCGACAAGAGCCAACCGAGTGCCCTAGCCATGAGCCTTGAGGTCATGATCCAGTGCTATTAACCTTGATGGAGACCATCTCATTGGGCAACTCCTAGCCTCGCATCACACAAAGATTTGTCCTGTCCTGCCTTGGCCTGGATGCCACACGGGTTTCTTCCATTGCAGAACTACCCCGTGACAATAAGGCATTATGCATCATGCCCCCATCCGACCCGATTCAATCGACCGCCTCATGAACCACTCCGGAAGATGATCCATTATTATCAGTGAACGGATTCGGATCCGACGTTGATGGCTCCGGAGCACCTAACACAGTCAAGATCATACCATTCATGCTTTCTTCTCCGACTATCTCACAAATAAAAACAAGACGCCAGATCGCTGTTATGCGGAGACGTATCTTCCACGCGAAAACAAAGAGGCTCTTCTTATCTCCTTCCCAGTCGTGAGAAGACTAATTGTTTTTGTTGTTGAATCCATCGTCAATGGAGCTGTCGACGTTTCTGCTTGGTTTCAGAGCTTCTGCAAACTCGTTTTTATCTCAGTATGAACCACTTGCTCTGCTTCTCGCTCCTGCCTTTGCTCTCCTGGCGGCTTGGATTATTCAATCATTATTCCACTTCGTTGAAGAAAACGGACTCAAAGCATCTATTATCGGATTCATTATGAAGTCTGCCAAGCAAGTTTTTCTCTCTTTACATTTTTTATCTTACTATGTATTGATATTTTTTAATTTTCCAGTTGTCCTTTTGGCCTATTAGGATTCTACGGTGTTGATGCTTTCTTACATTGTTTTCTGCTCTTAAAATTTAACGAAGCTTTGACCTAAACGCAGATTGATCCCTGGTGTGAAGAAGTACATAGAAGCTGAGAAACAGAAGGTCAGTTTGTTAATTTATTTTATTTCCTAAAACTCGGTTTTTTCCAGGATTTAGTTTTCATTTTATCTATCTTTACTTTTTTTTTGTATTATTTCATTTTCTGAACCATTGGGATGAGAATCATGGGACTGGCCAAGATTGGTGCGACTTCAATGCTATTTCCCGATTCCAGAAGTGTGTAGTTCTGGTCCCGGCTGTTCTACTGATAGAGTAATTACATAAACCTATCCATTAAGAGTTCTGCCTGCTAAGTTAATTAATGTCTGATAAATTTCCCGTACATCGACTTGAGAATACAGACGGGGAGTACTGCCCAACATCCAATTAATAAGTCTCTGGCCTAAAACTTAACCAAAAACAACACCAGCTAGAGAAAATTAGCAAAGTTGACAGGACGTTGTTGATCTGATTTTTATGCAAGGAGATCTAGCTAATAGGCTTGGTGTTATGGGAAAATCTTGGGCTGACAAGTTTGAGAACAAGAGTTGAAGTCTGAGAACAGCCACTTTGTGAAAAGAAAAAAAAAATGCCAAAGGTTGGTTTCATATCCTGTCAAACTCTTGCATTTGGGTAATGGCCTTTTTCCATCTAGCTAGTAGGCTTGTTTTGTTGAACAAATGAAATGATCCCTACCATGATTTTAAAAGGCTAGGAGGAAGCACATCCTAAAGGCAAAGGTTGACATACAATTCAATTTGTTAGAAGTAGGGGGGGTGCAACTTGGGTGGTCCTAGCCCCTGGGTTGGGTATTTATTAAACTTTTAAAGGGGTTTGGGGCCAAATGCAGTGGGAATTCTCCACATTTGGCACCTGCTTGTACCCCTAGTTAGAGGAGTCTACATCATGCTTCTGAATGTGAGATTCAATGTTTTTCTTGGAAACCTAAAGACATTAATAATGTAGAACAGCTAGTCTTACTACCTGATCTCTAGACCTACTGTCAAGCTGTACAGATGCAGGATTACTACTTATTATAGACTTATTCCAAGAAGCGTAATGCATACAATCGACACTGTTTGTTAGGGAAGGGACCCTCTGGATTGGATCATACTCTTGTTCTTCTATAGTTCAGTCAAACTTATAAACTTTATGGCATGGTTGAAAAGTTTCTCCTTATGGTGTAGAAGATTTGAACTGTCTCATGGTGCAGCCAACAGTTTATACCCACATTTATTGGAACTTTCTCGGGTGATCTTATTGTGGTAATTGTTGAAAGATTTTATTTTTCTGACATTACATGACATGTGTTGAAATTTGTAGCAAATAGGTAAGAAGAACCCATTGGAGTCGCATGGAGTCCGAATTCTCTAAAGTTCTACTTGTAATACTGGACCAATGTCATCAATCATGATGTGGCATGTCTTGTATATGTTGGGCCCACATATTAAGCTGATATGACATATCATTATTGCCTCAGTATCCTCTAGTTCCTGTGGAAGATTTCAACATTGCCCACTTCCCCCGATAATCAACATTGCCCACTTATATAGCTACCAATCTCTATCTCTCCTATGCTTGTATTACATTTGTACACAGAGTATAGATCTCTCCTGTGCTTGTATTACATTTCCACATTTGATCCTGATCTCTCTCTCTCTCTCTCACACACACACACACACACAGATACATGTCATTACCTAATGCTGGTGTAATGATAAAATCTTGGGCTGTCAAGTGTGAGAATGTGGTTTTGATTCTGAGAGCGGTTACTTTGTGCAAAAAAAAAAGCAAAAGGTTAGGACTGTATGCAGCCACCCCTCCCAAGACCCGAGATAGCTGGGAGTCTGGGACCAACATTGGGTAATGGGCCTTTGCAATTCTCAATCTTTTAAGAGAATTGCAAAGGTTATGCACACATCAACAAAATATCTATTGTAAGGATAAATGAAAGCCTAATGAATTATCAAAAAGAAAAAAAGAAAGCCTAATGGAGTTGGCACCATTAGGTTTCTCCGGGAGTTGGCAACTAGAGATAGAGTTAGTGCCTTAAGCATTGGAGTCAGCACTGTAGCACAAATTGCAAACAACATTTCAGCTTTCATTTACAATGACATTTATAGATGAACATCCAATTTCCTTGAGATCTTCAAGATAATTACCTTCCTAATTAATGTGACTAGAAAGGAAGACACTTATAACACTTACTAAAAAAAATTAAAGAAATTCATATCTAAATAAACCTAAAGGTTTTTTCTCTCTCTCTTTTTTTTCCCAGTTCTTTATTAAACCTGTGATTGATTTGATTGAGAGAATCTCCTAGGGGTCCCATTTGAGTCAGCCAAAGCTGCTATAGTGAGTCCAAGTTTATGGGCTGTCATGGATGTCTTGAATATGGATCTGCAATGCAAGTATGGGCTTTTGAGGTCCATGGATCTTAGGCTTGGGCCTTCTTTGTGGCCCATTTCTCCCCTCTATCATGTGCATTGTTTATTTCTTTGTTTCTTTGTTTTCTAATGAACTATGATATATCCTCAATCTTAAAATTTTCTTTGTAGATATGGGGAAAACCCATTTATCATGTGGGTGTTTGATGGATCTCTATGGCAGGTTGTGGAGAAACTACAATCTGGTAGTAAATCTAAAAGAGACTCCTGGCTAACAGAGCTGCCTAGGGTGGGACTTGGTACAGAGGTCATAGAAAATATGAAAGAAGAGAAAGGAAAAGATATCGCTTGGAAAGGCAAATGCTCCGGTACAGTGTATGTTGTTTTTGTATGAGAATTATTTACTTCTCTCTTATTTTTGTCAGTGTTATTTATGTATCATTTACATCATAAACAGAAACATTATACTTTTATCTTGTTTTCTTTGTCATTATGTATAGTCTCTAAACTTCAGGTTTATTAATGTTATTTTGTTTCTCTACAGCTACATTGGTGGAAGTGAGTCTGAGGGGCACTTTTCTGTGATAAACGAGGCATATTCAATGTTAGTAAGATATAATACAACTAATAATTTGCATTTCCATGTTGCAAATGTTTTAAATTTGAAAATTTACATCTATAATATGTGAAGCTCCTTGGTGATTTACCTGGTACAGACACAATATTATTTTATTATTATTATTATTATTTTCAATAATGAAGGAGGAATTGCATTAAAAGAAAATCAAAGGTTACAACTGAGATAAAGAGGTTTTTTTCCAAAGCAACTGTAAAAACGACTTACAAACATGATAAAAAAACAAAGATATACTAAGATTTATCAATAACAGTATCTTATTAAGGGTTCAAACTCTCTGCTGTGATGCTAGTTTCTTTTAAGCCCTGGCATCCTGGCCCTCCTCATCTGTCCAATCAATGCTCTGGTAGTGATCTAACTCCTTCCACACCGAGGTGAGAGTAGAACAATAAATTGATAGACAAATGATTTCCTTGATTACAAGCTGAGATTCAGCATATAGCTAGTAAACCCTGGCATAATGCTTCTGTTCTAGCTGGCTTCACTTGCTCCCAGATCTCATAAGCAGTGTCTGCCTGCATAAAATTCTTCCTCACTTGCAGCTGCATAGAAGCAAGGAGCCAAGACATAATCATACTGTTTTTCTAGTCCCATCTATCATGCTTTGCAGTTCCAGCCTTAGGCTCCTTAACCTTGCTACTGACATAACCAGCCTTCCCCCTTCCTGTAATATATAACTTAACGCTCTTGGACCATTCCAAGTAGTTTAAACCATCCAGAGGGATGATAGCCATAGGAATGTTCATGCTGTCCATTCCACCCTTCAACATTGTGAAGAAGTAACCCTGGAAGTAGCTGAAACCTCAATGGCCATGAGGGATAACTTTCACACCCTTTTCCTTTCCCTTTTTCTAGGAAAAGAGCACCCCAAACACTGAAGAACCAAACTGATTCAAAGATCAATAACAGAGCCAAAATGAGGGAAAAGAGAATACCAACTTCAGTCCAACACTAAGAGAACCCTCAAGTATAAATAATCTCTTCAGCTATAAACAGAAATTGACACAAAAGTGGGTCTTAAATCCTAGCTAATTTAAACAGTCCCCTTAAGCTTCACAGACACTTGCCACAGCCTTCAAACACTCACTACAAACACCATTTTCTCACAAACTCACATTCAGCAATGGAAAAACGTAAACATACCCAACCTGCAAGGTGCATACCTGGTAGCAAGAGGACCTCATGATCCATAGTCACAAGGAAGGCAGAACTTTCACTCTCTAAACTTCTACCACTGCATTTAGCCACAACCAAAAAATTTTTTCTTGGCACTACGATCAAGAAAAAAGAAGAAAAAAATGGAAAACTAGCTGATCACATCAGGTCAAGAGGTGATTCTTCAGTTTCCATTCCAAAAAATGGCAAGTTGATGAAAAACACGATCTCATTTGCTTCATGCACCCAGAAAAGTGCTCTGATACCAAATTATCCAACTAGAGAAAAGAAGAATCAAGAGGCAATAAGAGAGGAGAAGAAGAGAGAATGTTTGGAGTGTCAAAATCTAGGCTGGTGGTGCCTAGGTTCTTTATTTATATTAGGGCGATAGTACAGATTAAAGTAAAAGAGACAAAGGTTCTCCTGCGGCACAAATAACACAATTACAACAATCTAAATTAGACTAAAAACTAGATTCCAACAATGAATCCATGTCCTGAAATTCAGCATGTGTCTTAATCCAATTGATGCAGGGAAAAATTTAAAGGCACCATAGAAGAGGAAATCAAGTTTCTTCAAATCCTTACACCAACGGCAATTTCATATTTTTCAGTTATTTGAATTTTGACAATTTGAATCTTTGTAAATTATTTTAGTGGGTTATAATAGTGTCTTTTTAGAGAGTGTTAAAAGTTAAAAGATGAAATTATGTCATTTTTCTTTCACCCTATATTTTAGGGGTCAAAACTTGTCCATTTTGTATGATTTTTTGTGTTACTAAGTTGTTATCTATCCAATGGGACTAAGATCTTGTAGATCCAGCATGTTTGAATGAATTGTAGTTGTTTTACTGTTAGGTTATCAGTAGGAGTGAGCAAAAAAACGAAAAAAACGAACCGACCGAAACCGAACTGGTCGGTTCGGTGTTTTAAAAAACCAAAGGTACTGGTTCGGTTTTGGTTAACCAATATAGAAAACTGGCGGTTAACTGAACCAACCGGTATACATATATTTCTATATTTTTTTATATATTTATGTATATTATATATTTTATATATTATAAATTAATAAATATACATTATATATAAATATATATTTATAATATATGATATATTATTTATTATTTAAAATATAATATTTTATATATTTATAATTTTTATTATATTTATAATATATATTGTAAAAATTTTAAAACTGAAAAACTGACGAACCGGACTGATGGTTAACCGAATTGGTCAACCGATTGGCTTTGGTTGGTTTCGGTTACCGGTTTTCCAAAAACTGGTAGTACCTGTTTGGTTACAAAAAAAGGCCCACGGTTCGGTTAACCGAACCGTGAGCACCCCTAGTTATCAGTTTGTGATGAGATTTCAATCTTTCTTTTTTCTTGTCCCTCTGGGAGTTGTTTTTGTTCTGTTAAGTTTTAGTAGGATTACTACTGGGTTATTAGAGTTGTTTTTAGGACTTAGAATCCTTATTTGGGTCATTTATCTATAGGTTTGTCTTAGTTTTACAGTAAATGGAAGTTGTTAGTTCCCTAGTTGAGTTAGAGTCTGTAGAGGGAAATCCAAGTCCTTATGATAAATAGAGTCATTGTAACTGCAAATTAGAATTGATTTGATAAATAAAAGTTTTATTTAATGAATTCTAGTTGGAGCCAGGTATTTCTTTCTTTGTTTTTCTCTATCTCTAAAGTGCAATGTTTCTTCTCTCTTTCTCTCACCCATCAAAAAACTTTTTTTTTTATCCTCTTTCTTCTCTTTCTCCTCTCTATTCAGATCTTGTTCTATCTCTCATAATTCAGATCTTAATTCTTCATGTTATATTAACTTCAAGGATCATCATTTTGCTGTTTTGTATAGTTCCTTTCTGTTAGTTTCCGTAACAGCAGATCTTTTATTTCCCAACTAATCTTAACAAAGCTCTTTGATCATTACTTACCGATCCCAAAAAAAATAAAAATAAAAAATGAAAAAAAAGAAAAGAAATATAAGGACATCAAATTCCATAAAATACTCTTTTCACAAAAACCTCTCAGCGGCCAAGAAGATATAAAGCTCATCAAGTCCCTTGGAACAACCAATTCATGATTTAAGAGGGCTAATAATTAGACCTAGACATACCACTTGAGGTTTCGTATTGAACAGAGATGGAGGCACCACTTGGGCTGATTATATTTATCTATTTTTGGTCAGTTTTTTTTCTGGCCAGTTGGGGAGGTGAGTTCTACTGATGTGGAGGCATTTCTCTTGGGTGCACAGATCAATCAATAATTTGGATGACAAAATGATCAAACAGGGGACACAAAGGTACCAGCTATTTTGGGGCCAATTGTATTTTATTATATGTTAAAAAGGGGGGGGGGGAGGTGAGCTAGCGGTTGCTACAGTCAATTCAAGAGTGTTATGCACATGCTGTGCATAAATTTTCACCCCAATTAATTAAAGTTCAAGGTTATTGTAATACAATAAACTGGGCTTTTTTGAATTTGCGTTTTTCCAGTTTACATGTTTCTATCCTACCATATTGTTCGGTGTTGGAATACTTCAATATTGGGATGCAATTGCTTACTGTTCCTCCTATTATGGCAACACTTAACATGCAGTTTTGATTTCATCCATATCGTCAGGTTTGCACATACCAATCCATTGCATCTGGATGTATTCCAAAGTGTAGTTCGATTCGAAGGGGAAGTGGTTGCAATGACAGCTGCATTACTTGGCAGTAAAGAGAATAATTCAGGAGGACAAATATGTGGCAACATGACATCTGGAGGGACTGAAAGTATATTGTTAGCTGTTAAATCATCACGTGACTATATGAAAGCAAAGAAGGGGATCACAAAACCTGAAATGTAGTTTTAGTTTCTTCACTTGTTTTTTATTTTTCTTGTCAAATATTTTTGACCCAGGAAAATCTAGGTTGGTGGTTCTAATTTTTCCTTGTGTAGGATAATACCTGAATCTGCACACTCGGCATATGATAAGGCGGCACAATATTTTAACATCAAGCTATGGCGTGTTCCTGTGAATAAAGAATTTCAAGCAGATGTTAAATTGATTAAACGATTTGTCAACAGGAACACAATTTTGGTATGCATTTCTAGTCTTTCCTCATTAAGTTCTATGTTTCATTTTTTCTCACTATTATTCCAGAAAACTTCTGATCGAGATGGAAAAAGGGAAATCAAATTTGAATGCTACTTTTCCTTTTTTTCCTCTATATGGTTATTGTTTTACCATCAGTCAGGCAGGTAATCTCTAAACATATATTTCATGTCCAATTCAAATTAATTTGAAATTTATATTCCTCAGATTGTTGGATCTGCACCTGGATTTCCACATGGCATCATTGATCCTATTGAAGTATGTGATATTTGACTTGCCTTTGGAATTGTTAAAATTTGTTATGGTTTTCACCAAGAAAGCTCTTCTACTATGTTTTACTAGCATCGGTGGAGATCACGTGTCCTTTCTTGCATATGAAATCATTGTGCAGGAGCTTGGTGACTTGACTTCTAGTTTTGGAATTTGTTTACATGTTGACCTCTGTCTTGGCGGTTTCGTATTGCCTTTTGCTCGTAAGCTTGGGTATGCTCTTTATGATTGTCAATTTGAGGTTGCTTGTTTAATGGTCTGCTTGTAATAATTTTATATGCATCCTATAAAACTTTTTTAATGATAGCCTGCAATCTTTCCTCATAATCCACCAGCACACCATCAACCATTAGCTTTTTGGTGAAAATTTCCCACCTTGCATTTGTAAGTCTATGAATAATTTGCATTGTTATCCCCTTCTTTAGGCCAAGTGATCGTTGCCTGTTTCCTCCACTTCATATTCTCCCAATAAGCCACTCTGTTGGAAATCTGCTGGGTTATCATCCTCATATTCTTATTCTCCATTGCTAAATTCAGATTTCCTCCTTATGATCAATTTTTTCAATTGTCTTTAGTAACTCCCTCTTCCCAATTTCTTTATGTTGAGTTGGCTTGACACTTCCTTGCTCCATTCCTATCATATTTACTACACATCAATATTCTTTCTGAAATGGCCTATGCTTGTTTGTAAGATCCTAAATAGTTCATGTTAGTTATTACTATTGTTTTGCATATCAACCTTAGAAACTCTCTGTCTGTGTGTGCGTATGCACACATATATGTATCTTTTTATCTTTTAATATGATTGAAGAACAAATTGTTCTTGAAGCAATTCCTAAGCTTACCAGTTGGTTTCTTATACAATTCTTCAGCATGCTCTTTGACCATCCCAACACCATCACAATACTCTGAGAGTCAGAGATGCTTTTTTCAAAGATACTAAAAATCAATTACCTCCCATAAATGTTACAACTCATTCAATAAAATCAATTATCTATAAAAATTATTAACTCATTTAAATACTAGGTAATTTGATGGACTTCCTTCAAAGAGGCCAGTTTAATTTGTGCACCATTTGGAATATTGTCATTATCTGACCACACACTCTGGCTAGCCCATTTTTATAACCATTCAACATCTGCTGACCAATCAATGAAAAACCCATTCCTGTTGAAACATTCTTTGGATTATTGCTATTTTAATACATAATTAATCAATTACACAATCTGTTGGATGGTTAATGGATGATACTCTGTAGATGGTCAATTATTTCTTGAACTTGTCTGATGTAGATCCACAGGAAACCACCTAATGAATGCAATTAGTTTTAAGTCTGTGACAAGGAATTAAAGTGTTGGTTTTACAATTGCTTACTTTCTTCTTTCATTCAATCCACACCTCCAGCTTGATATGAATCCAGTGTCCTCTACATATTTTTAGCTTCATATTCATGTATGAAATTTTTAAAGGGTGTAAATCCATTCCTATTGTGCTCATCTTGAGTTTATTGCATTAGATATGTAGTTTTTTATATTTTTCATTGGTATTGCTGGAACCAATATAAACCTTATCTTTTCCTTTGTACTTTAATACACGTGTAGGTACCCAATTCCACCATTTGATTTTGCGGTAGAAGGAGTAACATCAATATCAGTAGACGTGCACAAATATGGCTTGGCTCCAAAAGGAACAAGCATAGTTCTGTATAGGAATCATGAAATTAGAAAGGTATGTGGTCTCTCTCTTAAAGTTTTAAAACTTAACCAAGGTCCCTTGCATAGTTTTCAAGGAGCCAAGGCGAGGTTAGGTGACAGGGGGGTGCCTAGTCGCCTAGGCGATGGATTTTTTTTTTTTAAGTAAAAATATATATCCTAGGGTAGTTCCCTAGGTTTCATAATCATATTTCCTTAATAAAAGTAGAAAGCCTTGTGTGCTGATTTGGCCAAGCTTCTTGTGAAAGGAAGAGGTGAAAGTTGGGGGTTTCAGTAATAGACAGAGGAAAGGGAAGAAAAGGAGAAGAAGGTCGACTAGGATAGTGATACATAACCCTAGCTGCCAGCCCCTCATTCTATTTATAATTAACTTAAGTATGGGATATTACAAAGATGCCCCTAGTAGGGCGGCAACTCAACTAAGTACTTACAGTTCTTTTAAAAATAAAA